AATCTGAAATGTGTGGCATGCATGTGAATAAGCCTCCCTGATTGAACGCCAACTTTACAAGAACAGCTACAAATAATCCCAGCTTCTGACATCTAGAAGCTGAAATATCGGCCAATATTTTATTGCCAAGTAGCTTCAGTTCGAAAAAAATCAGATGGAAAACATCTGTGGAACCTGCACTTTCAGTGTTTTGGTCCAGGCATTTGATTTGGTCATTCTAACACAGTACTGGTCATCCAGCCTTTGTAGCTCAGGCTGTAAGATTAGAGTCGTCCTCCCACAGGGTGAGTTTCCAGTGTAGACAAGGTTTTTGCAGCCTCTAGCGTAGCATATCTGCTACGCTTGATGCTACGCTACCGATTCAAGTATAGGCTTGAATCGGTTCAACCCAACTCGTCGCAGTTCGGGTGGTTTCCATTACAATTGAGTAACAGCTCAAGTGGCTGGGGCTGTCATGCGGTGGGCAGCCCCAGAGTTTGAAAAGTAACCCAATGTGAAAAGCGACACAAACAACGCAACAATGGTGGACGCAGGAGATATGGTAAATAATCAGGTGGTAAACAATCAAAATCAGTGGTCAACGGCCTTCTGACTTCACCTTTTCAGCCTGACTAGCGAAGCAGGTTTTAAAAAGAGTAGATGGTGCAACGTGTCTTGTGGAAAACGCCAAAAGTGCTGTTTTGGTCATCAAGGCCAGAGAACCTTCTTCTACTTTTGCTCTGTGACCTAAATGGCTTGTTGGAAACTAAATGTTTTTTTTTTGTTTTTCCAGCCACAACCGTCCTTTATGGATTTAATGATGCCACTCCTTCATAAAACACCCAATTTTTTAAGTGTCCCGCTGTGGCTGCTTCTATGATTTCTCATGCCAAGTTTCGGTGGACGGCCGTGTCCTGGTAGGTCCGCGTTGGTGACACACTCTTTCCATCCCAAACACACCTCTGGGGCCGTCGCAGAAAAAGCTGCATTTAAATTAAATTAGACACAGGTGGACCTCATTTACTATCCCGATGGTCTCTGAAGGCAATCGCTTTGGGTTTTATTTAGGTGTTTCAGACTAAAAGGGGGAGGGGGAAGAAATACGCTCAAGCAACTATTTTATTTATTTTTTTAAATCTCGATTGATATTAAAACTTTTTTTTCGATTCCTTAAATGCACCTCTTCATCCCGCGATTCAGCAATACTTTGCGTTGTCGTAAAATCCCCAAGGAATTAATTAAATCTGTGGCTGGAACACGACAAAACGTGAAAACGGTTCAGACAAAATGGCATCTGCAGCTAAATTCATGCTGCCATCCACACAGTCAGCACACCCACGGAGGTTTGAGTGATCAGTCTCTTTTCTCTGTGGTGAATATGTTTCCCCTTCAGGGTCACCGACACCACAATGCTTGTTAAACTTTATATTCTCTGGTGGGCAGGGGGAAGAAGAAAAAAAAAAAAGAGAGAAAGGACACTCATTAACTCAGTGCTCAGTGTTTTTTGTGTGTATCCACATTTAATGTGCATTTTGTTGACGTCTGAGGGGCATTTGCCTTTTCCCGCTAAGTCTTTCTAATTTTTAATTCTTTAACTCGGTCTTGGAAAGAGCTGAAAGGCACGAGTTGCTCCTCGCTCATAGAATACTTTACTTCAAACTGACCGAAAACAATTACTGGAGGCAAATGAGTCAAACATGGAGAAAGATAAAATTTAATTGTAGCAACTACTCATAACGACTTTTGAGCTTATTAGTTGCCGGACAGATGCAGCTGTCAAGCTGAAATGCCACACATGCTCCCACCCAGAGGTTTTCAGTAACGGCAATCAGTTTAATTAGAAAAGAAGCTTTTACAGCCATTTATCTCCCTGCGGTGCGTGACTCAAAAAACTTCAGTACATAACATCTATGAAATGCAACAAATGTGCATTTATTTGTTCTTTTTTCAATTTAGAGGTTTTTTTTTTGATCCAGGCTTTCTTATGATTTCACAATACTTTTCCTGTGTTTTGTTAGAGGTTTTCCGTTGTTGCTTTGACATGCCTTTTCAGTGGAAAAGATAAAACGTAACTCAAAGGACGGAGCAGCGTTGAGTCTACACGTTACAACTAAGCAAAGAAATCCTTTCTTAATTGGATCTTCAGGAACTTTTCATCACTGTCTGCCATAATCAATCAGCTGAAGCAATAAAACAACCAATGATAGCTCGGTCTCAACTACAAACTCACAGTATTAAATCTCTGGTCAGGTGATTTCTAAAAAGCTGAAAACCTGCTGTCCATGAAAAGCTGAGGGATGATGTATTTATCATAGAAAATATCACATTTAAGCTGAATTTTTTCCAGTTTCCTTAAAAACAACTTTCAGATACAAATAACCAGCTCCAAATAGCACTTAAGATTTGGCAAATCCTATTTTCTCCTATTGTTTTTTACTTGTTTCATATTGTTTACACAAAAGTCTGCACACCATGTTGAGAGTTATTTAGGTGAGATACCTGCACCGCCTACAATTCAGGATTTTTAGTGACCGATAAACATAGAAATGAGACTTTTTGACCCTACATGTAATTATTTTATATTTGTCACTCACTATTATCGTTAAAACAACTATAAATACATCAAAATCTCACTTTGAAATAACGCAGACTCTGTTGCACTCGACACGGCGAGTAATTTTCCTGTTGACGCAAAGGATGTGGGAGATTTCTCTCTTTTTTTTTTAGCGAGTCAGCGAAAAAAAAAAAAAAAAGCTGCTACGAGCCCACTTTGACGTTTTAAAAACACACACGCACTTTTGTTGAATCAAAGACATTTTCAGATAGCCGTGAAAGCTAATCCTGGGCACCTCAGCACATTCTGAGGCTCATTTTAGGTGATTTAATAAATTCCCAAGGCTCTGTGTGGAATTAGAAGAAGCTGGACTCTGGTCAGAGGAGAGCTTTTAAGGAAACCAGCAAACGCCCATGAGAGGCACAGCAGTCGATGGTAATTTGATGAGCGTTTACATTTACCTGCCTCTCACCTTTTCCTGGCCACGATCTAAACAGCCTTTGTTAATCGGCCCCATTTTGTTTTCATAAATACCCAGCATGCCTTTTCTTTATTTCTTTATTTATATCTTGCACCCTTATTGTTCGAAAATGAAATATTTGGCGTTTTAGCGGGGCAAGCGAGCTGTGGTTAACTTCTCTCTGTGTGTGTGTGTGTGTGTGTGTGTGTGTGTGTGTGTGTGTGTGTGCGTGTTTGGAGATGGCGTTGCAGATTGCCATACGGGACGCCAGAACTTGCACTTCTGGTCGGAAAAAAGGAGTCTGAATTTTCGTCAGACGTGTTGCGCAGACAGACGAGGCGAAGGGAAGGTTTTTTGAAAGCAGATTCCAAGATCAACAGAAAACTCTCTCTGTTGACCGTGTGGTTAAAAATGGGGATGGAGGGAGAGGCTGCATCTGGCACAAGGCCTCAGCTGAAGGGGGAGCAAACATCCAGAGTGGCTCAGCGAAAGGCTCAAACGCTGCAGGGCCCAGCAGCGGCTTCTTCAGTTCTCAAAAAAACATCCATTTGAACCAAAATAGACCGTTAGAAGACAGTGACTACACGCAGCAATAAGGTGATAAAACGAGAGCAATCTCTTCAGTTTCAGCTCAAGAAAAAAAGACGTCTTCATTTCATCCGAGTCAGGCCTCAATTCTTAAGGTTTTCTTAGCGCTGGAAATGTCTAGTGAACCATAGAGAGAGCTGTTATCCACAAATGGAGAAAACACAGAACAGCGGTGAACCTTCGCTGTTGTTTACAGTTGAGCAAAATTACTCCAAGAGCGCATCAAAGGCTCATCCAGGAGGTCACAAAAGAACCCAGTTCTTGTTCCATTGGTGTTATTCAGTCCAGTTGAAGGGTTGGCTTGGATTTTCTGATTCTGGTTTCTAGCAGAAACTTCTTGAGGAGTCCAACCACCAGTTGGTGAACCGAAGCTCGAGAAGAATTAGGCTACGTCCTAGAACAATGGTTTAAAGAAAATTCACCTCTGAATGGCAAGAAAGAAAACCAAGCGACGATTTTTTTCAGTGGCCTCCTTTAAGTCTGGACTAAAATCAAATCGAGACCCTGTGACATCACCTAAACAAACCCACCAATGTGGCTCAATTTAATCAAATCTGAAAAGAAGCAGCAATGCAAAATACCAATCCAGGTATGCCAAATGCCTTCAGCAGTTGTTAAAGCCAAAAGTGGAACAAGCAGTCATTCGGTGGTTCACATTCCCCAACTGGAAAAAGCGTTTTGTGCCGACTCCAATAATCTTTGTAAGTTGCTAATATTTTTCTGATTATCTGAAACACTGAAGGATAAAAAAAAAAAAAAATAGAAGCAATCTGAAAGCAGGGCTACAGTTTTCCGTTCTACAGTATTTGAGTAACAACAATGAAACTACAAAGCAACGTTTAGCTGGAATTTGGTATAAATGAGACAAAGGTCCTATATGTCAATTTTTTTTTTTTTTTCAGAATTTGTGAAACAAGTATCTTTCAGAGACTGTTCATCTTCTGGTTTGGTTTTACGCTTTTTGTTTCTGTGGACAGAAAACTTGTAAAAAGTCTGGCTTATTGGTGGGAAAGTGCAAATAACATTAATGAGTATTAATGGTGGGAAAGAGGTTGAACAGGTGTGTCTACATGCATTTTTATTTTTTTTTAATTTTGATTACTAAAAAAAAAAAAAAAACACCACCAAAGGTTCAGTGTTGCTGCCTCTCAGTAGGAGTTGAATTTAATGCCAGTTCAATAGGTTACTGTGTGCGTGTGTGTCTGTGTGTGGTTAGTGCAGGAAAATTTTGGGGGTTTTGATTGGCACTTCTGTTTTTTGAAATCCCGTTTCATATTGTCCAAACCTCTTTCTAAAGAATTGTATCTGTATCCATCACCGCGCGTGAACATGCAAATGATGCCGTTAGTTTTGCATGAGCTGAACCCTTGACTGCGACTGTGTTTTTTTGTTTTTTTTTCTGTCTGGCTGTGTGCGTAGAGATGAATGGATGAAGACTAGGAAACGGGCTGGGTTGGCAGGGAAAAGACAGGGAGACGGAATCGTGTTTATCGGCCTGTAGGAGGACGACACTGAGAAGCATGGAGGCGTATCATGAACAAGGTCAGAAAGACATTGCTCTGCAAAACAGGAAATGACACGGGATATGTCCTCTCTCGCTCTCCCCTGCCTGTGCGCTCCGGCGCTCGCCTGTAAGTGACAGCGCTGCAGAGGGAAGTTGACATTGCCGAGGTATAAATTTCAGCCATCCGTGTTCTGCGGAAATCAAGAAATCGAGGCTGTCTGTCTGGATCAGGAGCAGGGCCCATGACCCTTCAGTGACCCTTCTAGAGTAGACAGCCAGAACCTAATGGTCGGTCAAATTCATTTTTATTGAAAGGAATATGATTTGTTATTTTAAAAACACACTCTCTTTGTCTGCCAGCCGATTAATGACGTGGATCGTGTTTCAAAAGTATCGGTCCCTGTTAAATTCTTCAACATTTGTTTACCGCAGAACCACAAACTCTGTGTTTTATTGGGATTTTGTGTAACAGAGTAACACAAAGCCACGCATCACTTTCCAAGTCTCTCCACTGGATTTGGAGTTGGATTTCAGGTCTGGACTTTGAATTGTTTCGTTCTAACATGAACATACTTCAGCCTGAACCTTTTCCGTTGTATCTCTGATTGTTTGCTTGGGGTCGTTGTCCTGCAGGACTCCTTTCAGCCTTTAACAGGCTTTCTTCCAGGTTTATCAAGTACTTTACACCATACATCTTTCCATCCACACCAACCAGTCACTGATGGCGAAAACCGTCCCAAAGTCACCAGTGTTTCACAATGGCTGTGGCTTCTTAAGGGTAATTTACTGTGTCAGGTTTCTTGCATCGACACCCTAACCCATCGTTTTTCATCTGACCAGAGCAGCATCTTCTCCGACCCCCTCAAGGCCCGTGTTACCAACAAACAGGACTTCCTGCCGCTCTTCCATAAAGGAACATTTGATCCTTGTCATGTTAGCAGACCCTCCCACCATTTTTGGAAGTTTGTGAGAAAATAAAGGTATTGAAAACAGATTGATTTTCTGATGCATTAGCAACTAAAATGGCAATAAAATGCGCTCCAGTTTGTGGTTGTAATGAAACAAAATGGGTAAGAATACAGCCTGGTGTGAACAAGGACAAACTATCTTTGCTCCTATTGTTTTAGCATCAGTGTGAAGCTGCAATTCTGCAGGGGAAAAGGAAAAAGTCAGATTATATATCAATAACTGATTCCCAGGGAGCCAATAGTGGCTGCCTGTTTCAACAAAGAAATGGACGCATCAAACATGATACATCCCCCAACAAGATAAGGACATGAAAACATGCAGCTTTGATCAAGCAGAACGAGATCTTAATCTGAAAAGAACAAGAACAACAACAAAAAAAAAAAACACAGATGCCGTTACACACCTGAGTACACAGCAGAACAGATATGTATGTTAACAGTTACATTGGGTAGCAGGTTATGGGATACGAGTTATGGAGTAAAATGAGTCCTCTCTGTAATCAAAAGAAGTCAGGTGTGACAATAAAGGTTGTTTAGAAATAACCGGTTAATTGGAGAGAGAGAGAGAGAGAAGGAGAGAGAGAGAGAGAGAGAAGGAGAGAGAGAGACATGTGTTTTACCAGAAGAATGTTTCTAGTTTGAGTAAAACATCCAAGGAGCAGTCGGCTTTGCAAAATGTTAACATGTCATTACTGATCATCCTTTGTCTTCTTTTCTCCCCCCATTCCTTTTTGTCTCCTGATGCTGCAGGTTGCACCGTTTGTGGGTTTCTTGGGGAACATCCATTAGGTGAAACGGAGAGAAGCTGCGCGCCGGCGAAACCAGGGCAATGCATATTCCCTTTCCGAAACCCACAGAAACACCAGTCTGGAATCAATCTGCTATCACAGCGCTCGCGCGCGCGCGCGCGCACACACACACACACACACACACACACACACACACACACACACACACACGTTTTAATCTTTAACCCCTGGTGAGACCCGAGTCCGGGCTATTTTTCATATCTGCGAGTCAGCATGTCGTAATGTTGTGTCAGATTTGGGGTATGGCCCTCTGTCATGTCTCCAAGTTCACCTGCACCTGAAGCTCTTTACCAGAGCACTGGGAATTAACGGCCGCCATAAATAGTGAGCAGAGTGTGTGCGGAGAGCTGCAGAAAAGCACCGGGCAAGGATATATCTGACAGGAAAGGAGCAAATCTTCTCCCCATGCTACCTGCTGTAAAAAGTCACATTTCAGGGCTTCACATCAGAGGGCAGTTAGATTTTTCTTTTCTTTTTTTCCCCCTGTTTCTCTACAGAAGTGGGGAGATAGCATCCGAGTTGTTTTTAGAAGACTTTGCTTGATTTTTCAAGCGTTAACCTGAAGATGGATTATTCACGTTTTCTTTTCCAATCATGCGCTACATTCAGATATCTAGAGGTGATGAAGACGACTTGCTAAAGCTCAAACTGAGGAAGAAAGAAAGCCTCTGTCCTGCTGCCTTCCTGCCGTACGTTTTTATTGGCTGTCAAGCAGCAGAGAGCGTCTGCTGCTTGACAGGAACAGTTACGGCCAGAGCTGGAAATCAACTTTGACTTCTCCAAATATCCTCAAAAAGCGCCGTGGCCTGCTCCTTAGGATATTCAGTTCTTTGTATTTGACAAAATGTAACATTTATTGCTTGTTTCATGATTGGTTTTTATGTTATAAATCCCTTTGAATTGCTTTGTTGATAAAATGTGCTGTACAAATAAACTTCACTTGACATTCATTTACTTAGTAAACCTCCGTCCTACTGGTAAACCTTTCTTATCATCTCATGATCTTCTCTGTACACTTACTGAATTGGCCTGTGTGTGTGTGTGTTACACAGGAGCTGTACTACAATGGTCAATGCGATAACATTTGGTGGACCACCTGTAGGGAAGCTCAGTTTGCTCAGTACAAAGTCTCATGTAACCAATCACTGTCTGTGTGTGCGAATGGTTTGTGTGTGTGTGTGTGTGAGTGGTAGGGGTTTACCTGAACGGCTGAAGTGGAGAAGTATTTGATTACTGATAATGTTACAGGGCAAGAACCATAAGAGGAAGAACAGCAAAACGACCCCAATGGAGACGTTTTATCAGTAAAAGTTGATCAAAGCGACATGCGTGCGTGCGCGCTCATCATCTGCTGGCAAATGAGTCCTCAGCTTTCCAACTGTTACACCACAGAGGAAACAGTAGTTCAAAGAGACAGGCTTACAAATGTCCATCTTAACTGCTGTCCATTAAAATGTCTTTAAACGGTGCCTATGACAGGAACACACATCCCCGTTTCACCTTCACTTATCATTAGTCCAGCGCCAAAGGCAAAAGGTCAGCGTTGGAGCAGACATTAACAAGTTCAACAAACAGCCCATTGCCTCATAACTCGCAGTGGAGAGGTGTCTACATCATTAGCCCTAACTTGCGGCTAATTGCAACTCGTAGGGTGAGTCATGCGTGTGTACCGACGGACCAGTGGTGGGAAGTAGCGAAGTACAAGTACTTCCTTACTGTACTTAAGTACA